GGATGTAAGTGGGTGAGCCTGGGTCTGCACACACACACAGCTCTGGGGAGTGTGACATTACGAGTGTGCATGAGCACGAGAGTGGATGTAAGTGTCTGAGCCTGGGTCTGCACACACACGCAGCTCTGGGGAGTGTGACATTACGAGTGTGTGAGCATGAGAGTGGATGGAAGTGTGTGAGCCTGGGTCTGCACACACGTGCACCTCTGGGGAGTGTGACATTACGAGTGTGTGAGCATGAGAGTGGATGGAAGTGTGTGAGCCTGGGTCTGCACACACGTGCACCTCTGGGGAGTGTGACATTACGAGTGTGTGAGCATGAGAGTGGATGGAAGTGTGTGAGCCTGGGTCTGCACACACGTGCACCTCTGGGGAGTGTGACATTACGAGTGTGTGAGCATGAGAGTGGATGGAAGTGTGTGAGCCTGGGTCTGCACACACACACAGCTCTGGGGAGTGTGACTTAGTGCACTCTGTGGACAGCGGCCCTGCGTCCCCACCCCGGCATGCCATCCTCTCTAATGCGCTGCTTCAGCTTCAGGCCCAGGTGGAGAGAACCTCCCCTCCCACCGTGCTGCAGACAGCCGTGCCTTAAGTCTTCAGCCCCCTCCTGTAGACGGGAGTAAGACCGACCTCGCAGGGCTGCTGGGAGGGGCACGAGAAATTATGGACCTAAGGCAATTACTACTGCCACCACACTGTGTGCACGTACACACGGGGACGCTCGTACACACGGGAACGCTTGCTCCCCTCCCTCCCCTCCCTCCCCTTCTGTTGAAATTGCCAACCCCCCTCTTGCCCTTGGCCCGTGGCTTCCAGGTGAGCCCGATCGCCCACACCGAGGCTCTTGCGGCTCATCAGCAGGCTGCACAGGGTGTTGCCACAGGCCCGCTCCATGCACGTCCCTCTCTTGCACTAATGGCCGTCCACTGCTCTCTCCCGGTCCCACTGATTTATTCTGCCCCTTTGGTGGGCGCGTCTTGTCGAAGCCACAACCTCCTCTTGGCTTTCTTCCGTTTACTGCTCTGAGAATGGCTGTCTAGAGGGCTGTTGACGTCTGCTTGTGTTGCAGCCGTTGCTGGGATCACTTCGGCCGTTTACGGCGTGGCCCGGAGCGTCTCAGCGGCTGCCCTGCTCCACGCTTTCTGCTTCAGCGCCGTGAAGGTAGGAGCGCGCCGTGGGCCCACTGCTGCCGCGTGTCCATCACGTCAACCTACTGAGATTTTCTTACGAAAGCAGTTTTTCTCGAGTTGCAAAATAAACGGATCTGAGCAGACTGGGGAGAGACAGGGCCTGGGGGGGAGGCCTCAGTGGTGTTAGAAGCCAGGGACCTGGCGTGCGAGGTGTGCTGGGTGTGTGCGAGTAGTGTTCATCAGCACGTCCACACCATGGCACCAGCCAGCACACACCCCTGCTCCATGTCTGGCAGATTTTCTTGGACATTTACCCTTCACTCCGTCACAGGAGCCCCAGCACTCAGGAAAGTGCTCTGGGTGATGACTTTTTGAGTCCTTGTTCTTCCAAGAGTGTCTTTCTACTGCCTATGGTAAATGGCTGCCTATAAAAGTTGAGGATAGCAATCTTCCCCTTGCGGGAAACTTAAAATATGTATCTGTTATGTTCCAGTTCTTGTTTGCTTATTTATTATGTATTCATTCATTTTTGAAAGTTGAGTTTAAAATTCAACTTTAAAAAATCTAATTTAGCAAAATTTGAAAAACACGTACAGTCATGGGAATAACCCCCAAATCAAGTTACGTTGCATTTCTACCCACTTGAAAAATGTCCTCCAGCCATCTGTAGTCAGTCTCCATCCATCCCCAACCTCTGCCACCGCTGACCTGGTTTCCTTCCTTCCTCTTTTGGAATGAAGCCTGTTGAGGCACACTGTGTGTGTGTAGTAAGAGTGTAAGTGTGCTGCGAAAGGTGTTCTGACAAGTGTATCTGACCCAGGCACCAGCACACAGTGAAACGGAAGCATTTGACTTTCTTCCAACTTCACTGCTATCCCCTCTACACATATTTATCTTGAGTAAATACCTGAAAGTGAGATTGCTAGACCAAATGGCCAGGTGGTGGCGTAGTGGTTAAGACCTGCACTCCCACGTGACTGACTGCAGTTCAAGTCCTGGACCTAGTGGCTTGCTTTCTTACTTTCTCTCTCCCTTTCTCTCTCTCGCTCTGGTGAGCACACATGTCCTATAGCAAAATTAAAAATCATAATAATAACGAATAAAATTTTTGAAAATGAAGCTGCCAAACTGTTGTCTAAAATGTACCATGTTTATGCCCTGACACTGTCCATAATCTTTGCGATTCCTAAGAGTTTCAAATTTCGGGCAATGCTTAGCATCGTCAGTTTTAAAATAGCCATTCTAGTATGCACTACTACCTCATTGTGGGATTTTGTTTTGTTTTGTTTTGTTTCATTTATGAGAGGTTTTTGCTATAGGGTACATGTACTTGCCAGAGAGACAAGAGAGAGACAGAGAGACGGAAAGTGAGAAGTCCCATACACCCATCCCTTCTCCATTCTCCTCTCAGGATTCTGGGCACATATGCACATACACCCAGCTTGAGTTTGAAGCCTCTGGGTACAGGACTCAAATTGCGGTGGACTACATGGGAGTCCAGGGGCGTAACCGTTATGCCTCTGCTGGTCCCGGTTTTCGTTTGCATTTCTCTAATAACGTTTAGTGTTGAGCATCTGCTCATATGCTTACTTGACATTTCTGTGTCTTCACTGGTGAAAATCTGCTCAGATATTTTGCCAATATAAAAATTGTGTTGTATGCCTTCTCATTTTGAAACATAAGGGTTCTTTACATATTCTAGATACAAATCTTTTATTAGATATATATTATACGTATTTCATTCTTTTAGGCTGTGGCTTGTCTTTTTATGTCATTACAATTTTAAAAAAACACAAGTTTTTAATTATAATGATGCCTAATTTAGGCACTATTTATTTTATGGTTTGTATTTTTTATGTCCTATCGATAAAACATGTATCTAGCCCAGGGCCACAGATAATTTTTTCCGAGGCGTTTATAGTTGCAGCAGTTGCAACTATCGTTTCAGGTCTAAAACTGGGAACTGCAGGTTAAGCTGCAGTTTGGATCTCTGATCTATTTTGAATTGATTTGTTTGACAGGAGGTGAAAGTTGAGAACTACCAGCACCTTTTTGCAAAACTGATCTTTCTTCCTTGATCTACCTGTGTCCAAAGTCGATTGTCCAGAAGTCCAGATACGCGTGGGCCTGTCTTGGAACCACCTGCGTGTCCCACGATTCCACACGCCTGTCTTTGTGCCACCAACACATTGTTTCGATTGCTTTTGTTAATCATAAGCCTTTAAATGAGATCCTGTATCTTCCAACTTTATTCATTTCTTAAAACTGCTTTAGCTCTGCAGGTAACATTTGTTTTAATATAAATTCAGCATGTGTTTGCCAGTTCTTCTTGATCTTGCAGAAATTGGGATTATATGGAATTTACAGATAAATTTTTGATCCACAAATCTGGCATGTTGTTCCCTTTCTTTGTGTCTTAGTCTTAGGAAAATGTCTTTGACCACCAAGTTTTATGTTAACTGTGAGGTTTTTCTAAATGCCTTTTATTGGAGTAATTTTCCTTAAATTCCTAGTTTGCTGAGGTTGTTTTGTTTTTTTTTTTTTTTAATTGTCAATGCTGTTAAATTTTTGCCAAATGTGTTTTCTGTATCTATTGAGAAGATAGTCTATGGGTAGAAGAATTATATGAGTTGAATATTGAATGTTGAACCAACAGTGCCTTTGAAGAGCAAGGCCCACTTGGTCATGATACATAAACTATGTCATCTATTGCTCAATTTTGTCTACCAATATTTTGTTGAGAAGTTTTATGTCTGTGACTATGAAGTTTCTACTTCTCTAGTTTTTTTCCTTTCCTAGTAATGGTTTGGAGTCAGAGTCATGGCCTCATAATATGAATTGGCAAGTGTTTTATTTTTCTCTTATATCCTGAAAGAGTTTGTTTGAATTGGTATTATATCAGAAATTTTTGGTACAATTAATAAATGAAACTGTCGGAGCTTGGCGTTTTCTCCGTGAGGAGGTTTTTAACTGAGTTTAATCATCATAGAGCTCAGGTTATCTGTAGGGTCATCAGGAGTCTCGACACATTTTTGCATTAAAAACATAGAAAAGTACTTTCCTGACAACCTCGTTTTTTAAATTAAAATAGTTGTGTTCTTTAAAGAATTTGTCTACTTTATCTATTTTTCAAATGTATTGGCATAAACTGAGTAATATTCTTTATTATACTCCCATGTTTATGACTTCGTTGTGAGGTGAGCTCTTTCATATCTAATACCTGTGCTTTTCACATCTTCTCCTCTGACTAGACACTTACTAGTTCTATTGAATGTCTTACATAGTCATATTTGGCTTTATTGCTTTTTTCATTTTTGTTAATTTCTACTTTTATCTTCCTCTTTTTATCTGCATGCTTACCTTCAATATATTTTCTCTTTTTATGCCCTGGGTTCTTAAGATAAAGCATACATTCTTTTATAGTCTTGTCTATCAATTATTTTGAAAAGATATTCAAAAAGAAGGATAAACTATGTTTCTTTTACCTTAATTTTTTTAACCTTTTTTTTTTTTTTGGGGAGGTTTTTGCTGTAAGGCACGGTGTTCCCCCGGAAGAAAAAGAGAGACAAGAGAAAAAGCGAGACATCATCTCCCCAGGGGGGATGGCTACGCCGCAATCCCTTCTCCTCCATTTTCCTCTCGGGATCTTGGGCATGCATGTACATGCGCCTGGCATGAGTTTAAGCCACCAGTCAGGGACTTGAACCGCTAATTTTAAAAGTTTCTACCAACGTACATTTTTTGTGTACATCCATGTTCCCATTTGGTATATTTCTTCTATCTGAATAACTTCCTTGTAATGTCTTGAGCAGACCTACTCATTGTGAAGTCTGTAGCTCTTGTTGCAAACAGTCTTCACTAATAGTTTTTTTTCCTTTTTGTTTTTGTGACTTGTGTAGTTTCTGACCAAAATCTGCTGTTATTCCAATATTTCTTTCTCCATAATAACGCTTCTTTTCTGTTTGAGAGTCCTTTTGGTCGGTGTCCTTAGGCAGTTTGACTGTGGTGTGTGATGCGACTCCTTGGTGTTTCTTTGACCTGAGGTCTCTCTGAGCTGCTCTGATGTCCCTGTCCCTTCCTGTTGCTGCTATTTCGGAACCCTTGGCCATTGACACTCCACATTTCTCCTTCCCTCTCCCATTCTCCTTGTCCCTCGGACCTCCAACTATCATCTACTGAGTGAGTTAATACTGTCCCACCCCTTCGTGTGCTCTCCTTCCCCCTTGTCTTCTCTTCGTGTTTTAGTTTGAGTATTACTGATCTACGTGAAGCTCACCAGTTCTCTTCTCTGCCGAGACTACTTTACTGAGACGTTTGAGAAGTTTGCCAAAGGAGTTTCTTACCTTTCGTGTCACATGCGTGCGTGCACCTAGGGTTTTCATCTGACTCCTGCTATAGTGTTCATTTCTCTTTTCAAATTATCCAGCTGCAGATGCAGAGTGACCATCTTTTTCACTAAATCCTTCAACGTATTTGCTACAATTATTCTTTTTCTTTCCTTAGGTTTTGACCATAGGGTTTGTGTGCTTGCCAGAGAGAGACAGAGAGAGGCGAGTGAGAAATTACCCCCAGGGCGATGGCCATGATGCAATCCCTCCTCCTCTTGGGGTTTTGGGCATGCACGCACAGGCACACGGCATAGTTGTCAAGCTGCCAGATGGGGGCTGGAGGCTGGGTCAGTCATGGGGATTACATTGTCTTCACTGCCTTACCACCTGCCGGCCCCTTAGTCACAGTTATTCTTAAATTGAGATTTGTAAATAAATTATCTGGGTTGTTCCCATTATCAGGGTGTGAACACTACTCTTGTGGATTTCCCCATCTGAATTGGAGGTACCACTTGTCAGTGTGTAGTTCTGAGGAGGAAAAGAATGAGACCACCTTGAGTTTTTCTCCGGATTCTCATAGAATTCTTTCTTATGTGAAGTTCCAGAAGGAATACTGTGACCGGGCCTGCCTTTCTTTCCTTAAGTTTCTTGAAATACTTTATGTATTTTCACTTTTTATATTGAAGACTCTTTACAAACAGGA